CCCCCCCCCCCCCCCCCCGACCCCCGCACCCACGCACCATCAGCAAATCATCAGCAAAAACACACTGTGGGTGCTGGGTGCGTTATTTTATTTTGGAAGTGTGTGCGGGGGTGTGAGCGCGCTGTTTTTGCTGTTAGGGCCCGGACGGGTTTGCCGGGGCTGCAGAGCACAACAGCAAACAGGAAACATCGATTTACGGGAATGAAAACCTCTGCTAGGCTGCAGCGCACCTGCTTTCGGATACGCGAGCGCAAAGATGCCACGGTGAAGATGGCCGCCGCAGCGGAGGCACCGAGGAATTGCAGGAAGTCGCCACGGCCAAGACTGCAGAATCAGAAGGCTGTCACAACAAAACTCGAAAAGGATCCTTTTCGGCCTGCAACTGCACGGACTGCACAGCTTGTGAAATGCGGCATGCACTCAGCTCATGTTCAAGCACAGACTTGACCACAACTAACTTGGTCTGCCTGGTTGTCTCCCTCGGCTGATCGACACTTCTGGAAGCCCGCAGAGACCGCGGAGCATTCGGTCTGAGCAGGCGTCTACGTCTACGTCGTCGTCTCGAAAGATGCCGAATCGCGCAGGAGCATGCGGGAGCCTCGGCCTTCCACTGAGAGTCTGAGTGATGCCCACTCGTGGTGGGGCGATGTTCTCCGGCGGAGCCATGCTGAAGAGGAGAGGGGCTCAGTTGGAGGCCTCTCCCGAATTAAAACGTATCCTGGAGCCAGAGAACGGCATGACAAACACATCACAGCCGAAACCGCCCAAGTATGTTTAGGCTCGGGGCGCAGTGATATCTGGCCAAAGCATCTGCCACGTTCCACAGAAAACCTACACGGCGGTGATCGATTCCAAACATTGGCGACTCGCTTTGTCTCCCCAAAACGAGGCAATAAGCTCCGGGCCAACCGCTGTTAGCGAACTGTTCACCCCAAGCCTTTGCTTCGTGCTTTTTTGGGAATGGGAAGAGACGGGTTCTCTTTTCGGGGCCAGGGCCCTTGAAAGCGTGCCAGCGCCCCGATGGAGGTCGTCAAACGCGGGATGGAGGCCTGAGGGACCTGAGGTCGGAGTGCCACCAGAGAGCCTGCGTGCCGACTCCAATCTAAGGCAGCGGGCGGACTCCATGAAGTCATGCACCAAAAGCCTCGGGGTGAGGGCGATGCTTTCTGGAAACACGGGACATGAGCACCCAACTCGAGAAGCGCGAAGACCGTGGGCAGTCCAGCAGACCTTGCACGGATGCTCCATCCACAATGGCCACTCCATGAAGCATCCCCAACACACCGGCCCAGAAAAAGCGCGCCTCAACGCGAATCGTTCGTGACCCTTTCTTACACAGGCTTGATTAGTGTTTGCCTGGCCTGGCGAACACCCTAAACCATAAGCCGAATACTCGGTCCTTCGAGTGACTTCGCAGGAAGCCTGTTATGTAACAGTACTTAGTCACTTTCTTGGACAGGCCTGTCAGCGCGGAAGCCCCTACGAAAACAAGAACCCGTTTCAGGCACTCGGCATCACTCGGCTCTGGAATGTGGCCGAAACATGAGGCAGGAACGCTGCGTCCCTGGCTTCGGTCCCGCTGCCTCCACATGTGAAACAACGGTGATGTTCAGACCACCGAAGGTCGGCAAGGCTCACTCCACACACGGGCTCACTGCTCGGGTCTCGGCCGCCTTTCTGCCCAACTTCACCAGACCTTCACAAGAGGAAGTCCTCTGAAGCCTGTGACACCTGGCCTTACGATGAGAACCCTTTAACATGTTGGTGGCACTTGATTAGCTGCGCCTCAACCCGTCCTTGGCAAGGTCAAAACTGGCCCCCACCTGTTTGAGGCAATAACTGAAATCTACGGACGTGCGCCCTACAGTGATTGGTGCGGCTTCGAGACCAGGTCGGGTCGTCAGGGCGGCATCTTTTCCATTCTTTTCCGAACACCTTCTGAGTCTCCAGTAGCTCTGGCCATCCAACAGCCATCCTTTGTTGCAGAATGACAACGGCTGACAACGGCCGAAGCGGCCTCAGAGATGTGCCTGTGCGGGGCACAAGACTTCTAAGCATGCATTGCCTCGACCGCATTGGGAATTCAAACTGACCCTCCTCCCGCGTCTGTCACGGTCCGTCAAGTCCGAATTCAATAAAGCTTCCGCATGTGTGGCGGGCTTCCTCACCTTCAACACTGCAAAATCTACTCTGCGTATTGGCGTATTTCACCAGACTCCTTCCGCATGCGGCCTGTACAGTTGCGATAGTCGAGGAGGGGGCCCAAGGGCCGAACAAAGACTTTGTTCGTGGTCACAAGCTGCTAGGCCGCTGCTCTTGGCAAACTGCAATGTCTCGCATGAAGTCGGCATCTAGATTAGATCTGATGACGGTTGTGCCGGGGCAGCTGCGTGGTCACCCGGCTACCTGACTGAACCTACGAAAAAGGAGTAGGTTTGAGATCGTGCGTGATCGTGACAACTGGCAATTGGATCATAAAGCAAGAACAATTTCTGCAGTCTGCCAGGGCCCCCCCTCCGAAATATATGCATCTGCTTCAATGGGTGCGCATCGCCACCTCCAAACCCTGATCACATAATAAGCATTGGAGTGGCCCCTGCAGGATTGCTTGGCATTGTCACTCTCATTGACATCCGACTTCATTACGTTCGGAATTCCCATGTAACTGCACAATCCAACTGCCGAAATGTGATGGAAAACCCTTCGTTCAAACTTCACAAGTCCACAGCCTCTGCTGCCCCAACTGCTCTGCTCTACCCTGGTGATACTCTGGCACTGGTGACTCTGGTGGAATTCGGAATCGCTGCATCAAAAGATCGACGGGAGCTGTTGGAGAGGCATGTTTTAGCTTAGTCCAGTTCTCGATTTGTGCATGTCATCCTGGCGTGGAGGCCATGCTAACTTTCTCTTACAATGAGACGGACATATTCAATCGAACCTACTTGCGTTTCCAGGTATTTGCCAAGGAACGTCGGGTTGCCCGGAGGATTTTTTTGGGTGTTTGCGCGCCCGGGAAGCCAGAACTGCACTTCGCTTTGGAAGACTGACGAGCCAGCAGATGGCTGACATCATATGTGGCAGCTGAAGGAGTTCTCAGTTGTTGCAATGCTTCGCCTTGCACTAGAGCGGAAGCTCCACGTGATGCCTGATGGCGGCACTCTGCCCGCTGTGCAAACTGGAACGTTTAAAGTTGCGCGGAACCCGACGAGCTTTCCATCCAATGTTTCAAAAGGGAAGACTCGATGTTCTGGCAGAAGCCAACGGCAGCTCAGAGAACTTTGTCCAAGGCGACATACCTCACCGCGAAGCCTGTCGGATGTCACGTCAAAACATGCACAACGTGCATTTTCCGAGAACTGCCTGATGCGAGCGAACGATAAAAAGCAAACAGTTGCAAGTAAGTCATGACAGCAAAATCAAACTGACAACAGGTATTTACTGACAGTAAATATGAGAGACTCAGATTTCCCGGCAACTCCAGGGAAAAAGGATGAAACAAGCAAGGCTTCAGAAACGCTTGCCGTGCGAGTGTTGCTGCCGATTACGCTTCTTGCTGCCACAACAGGATTGCATGGCGCACATGGCCAACCTTTCAGCGATGTTCTGCTGCTGAAAAGGCTGGCCCTACAATGCCCTACAATTTCTTTCGCGGGTTTGGGCTTCTGCATGACGCTGTGATTTCGTTGCAACGTCGAACAGTTTTGAGAAAATGTTGCTGAATCGCTGGCACTGCCCCCAGATGGCCACCGCGCGCCACACGCAGCGACCACCATGCAATCTGGTGAAGGGCCGTAACTTGCTGTGTCAAGAACAGAAGCTGCTTTACCAAGTCTGAACAGTGCCTCGCCAAGTAAGCCCGAGCAAAGCCAAACACCTTCCTGCTGCCAGCCACAGAAAAAAGACCAAGGAAAGCAATCTTTGCATCCGCCCGAGCATCCGGTTTCGCGAGACAGCATTCTGCTCTCGCAAAAATCCAGAGGAACCGAAGTGAAGGGCATCAACACAGCCAAGATGATGCCGTCCCCAGTACAGGAACACGGACCCACCAATGGACCAACCCTAAGCCCACGCACAGCTCGGGTCTGATGTGCCAGACTCGACAAAAGCAACAGCAGTGGTTGATGAAGTTGGCCGAACTGAGTTGTGCACATACCTGCAAGCTCCCAACAGGTGGTCTTACATGCTTGCCAGTCTTTTTAATGCAAGCCATCCAACAGGTGCCTGTGCCAACTTGTTCTGTCTTGCTCCTCATTTCCATCAGAATTCTTCCAAGCACTAGACTTTCATCATGTTGGCAGATCCAGCGGCTTTAATAGCATCGTGCTCAACAGTGCTGACCAGGTTCTGCGAAAGTCGCACAAGCCCTGCAACAAAAACGTGCCTGCAGTCCTGGCACCAATGAAATTTGAAGTTTGCTAGCAGGCCTTCAGAAACGCTACCCCTTCCATGTTCAGCAATTATCATGCCGGCAGTGCAGAGGGTGCATCAGAGTGCGAAGCCCGGAATGCCATGTCAGGCCGGAGGCCTCTCGGAGCCCAGTCGGGACTAGAGAGCAAACCCAAATGACCTGCTAGTTCTGTGAAACCCCCCGGGCCGGTGAACGTAGCAGCATTATGCCATAAGTATCCACAAATTTGCCCTACTTGGCTGCGGCCCTGGTTGCAGTACTTCTCCCTGTCTGCCTCTCTGTCACCGGCGTGTCGGGTAAGGCCAGGCAAAGGGTGCGAAGCAGGAAGGGTGGCCGGCACGCGCGCGTGCGATTCTGCGAGCTTGCGAGTGATCGCCGGTCCTCCCGCCTCTTGCGCACATGTGCATGTTCGACGTTGCCTCTGCCAACAGCATGCCCTGTAATTGGCCATCCAATCCTGAAGAGTCCCGATCGCCTCACTGGTCTTGACTTCCGGCAATCCCGGCGCAATCCGTGATGTCTCTCCGACACGTCGGACCTTAAATGGCGATTGTTGGCACAGCTCAGCTCGGGGGTCACGACATCACGCGAGAACTTCCAGAGTCACTGAACTCGTTCGGTCAACCACCAAGCACAGCGGCATAACGCACACTGCAAGTTCCTAATTGAACAGCATACTGCAAGGCTCAGGCTCTGCTGCAAGGACTTGCGCTGTGCTGTATTCTGCGTCTTCGGCAAGTCACAGCATCGGCACTTCTCTTGCAGCCACTCATCGACGCAGCAAGCGTGAAAGGAATGACCTGAGACCACACAGGCTGCCAGCAAACGATTGCCTTTCATCTGTCGTAGATGTATTGACACCGAGCATCATAAAAGCTCGTTGCAAAGAACTTAACATCGTCACTCACATCACAACTGCATTATCACCGCTGTCACAGCATTAGCATTTGAAGACCAGAGGCGGCAAGGGAGCGTCCGGAGTTCCTCTCCAACTGCGAAGTCATCAAGACAAATGTGGCACTGAAGGCCATCACTGCCCTCACAGAGACCTGTGGAACGAGTATTCGAATGGAGATGTTCTGACAAGCTTGGCCATACGCAGGAATTATGAAACTCAATCTAATCTAAGCCTCTGGGAATGGTATCAGGTGAGAATCTCCACAGGGCAAGAGAAGTAAGAACTTCCTCTGTGGCACAACCTCGCAGCAGACGCCCCAACAACAACTTCTGTACACTGCAGCACAGCTATTCTTGACGTGCAATGAAGAAGCAATGACAGGATGACGGCAAGTGGCTGGTGGAAGCTTTAGTCTTGACCTCGTCAGCTGCGGTCGCCTCCACACGGGCTCAGGAAGGCACATCTTCCCCTTGTGTTGACCGCAGGCGCAGGGGTGATCATAAAATGCGAGGTGCAGAAAAATTGACCCGCTCCGGCCTGGCCTGAAGGGAGATATACAGCAAGTATTCGAAAACATTCGAGGCGGCCACCTCTGCCGGGGTAAAGCCATCTCGTGTACGCAAGGTTGTCGAAGCACCAAGCCTGGCCATGGCATGAAATGTCACATAAACCAGCCATACCTTGCTCTTTCGCGATATGCTTTGACGGATGGTCGGTGTAATCCTTTCACATGCATGTCTTTAATGCAGCAGAGAATCTCGAGCAAGTTCTGCACGGCTGACAAATTGCCCTGCGCGTCTGACAATGACAAGTCCCGAATGTGGTGTGGTAGCGGTGATAATATCGCAATCTCGCCGAGACTGAACTTCAGCATGTCGCAGGTCCCATCGAATTGGAGGGGCATACACATTCATCAAACCAAACATTCCATCAGCATCCTCGCCAAGCCACCACCACCAAAGCACCGCCCGAGTTTGCTTCTTTCCCATGCTCCAGTCTGACTTCAAACCTTCGTAGGCCTAACGAAACTCATGCTAGATTCCGAATGGGAGGTCTTTCGCAGGTGTACTTCCGAGAGTCTCAACTTTCGAATTGGAGTGGCTAAGAGGCGCAACGCTGCCCTTCCGCATCTGCAGCCTGTCCTGTGCAAATCCTGCACCCTGCAAGCCATCGGTAGAACACCACCTGTTCAGCTTTATGGGCCTGCTATTGAAAAGGCCCTCAGCAAGCCGAAACGTGTTGCTATTCGGCGTCCGAGTGCTTGTCTTTCTGCACACTTATCCGCACTCTTGCTATGCGTTCACTCTCCAGATCTCTCCCCAGTGTGCGTTGCATGTGCATCCAATCACTTTCTACATTGAATTTACATCTACCTGTCATCATCAACTCGGCAGTCACCTTGAGAATCTTGGCACGAGACCCGTCATGCATCAGGATTTCCGGCTTCGATAATGCAGGGGGCTGCAGCTGTTCATTTTGACAAACCGTATTCAATCGAAAGCTGGACTCGGACCGTGTGCCGAGGGTCGTTCCCGATCTGACACTTTCGGCATCCTAGAAAACCTGCACCACACCGGCTCCACTACCCCTGTGAGCATGCTCTCGCACCTTGTGCCGCATGTTTCGCTTTTCCTCTCGGTATTGCGTATTTACAGCTAAAGAAGTGAGGAGGAATTGTGTGAAGACTTGCTGCTCAATGTTGACTCTGTCAGGCACCTGTCAATGCAGTATGTTGGGACCTGCCTGGCTGTACGACGAGCATCAGGAATTCTTGGGAGGGTGATGTTTGACTTGACTTGTCTGGCCCATGCCATTCAAGCGTCTGCATCTCGCCTTGTAGGCGGCGTGGTGCAGTGCCGACCATCTACCACCAGGCTGGCAGTTGATCAGCTCGGGGGATTCGGTGAGCATGTTCCGCACTTGCGAGAAGTTGCCAGCCTGCTAGCTGCAAGTTGCTAGACATGTTGTATCGAACCGCTGACTATTGAGCGCAACAGGTTTTTCAAGCACCATGCTTGATCTTGCTTGCCCCCAGGCATGCAGGCATGACAGAGCGAAACCCTTCCTTGGCAGCATCGAGGAAGCGGTGCTGGTTCACGGCACCGGAGCATTCGTCACGTGTCCGCCTTGAGCTGCCAGCCTCAGTCTGGAGCTCGAGACTGTTTGGACCATCGCCCAATCCCTTGAGTCTTTGAATGTCTTTGATGTTCTCGCCATCGATTCATCCGACTGGCCTTTGCTTCGTTAGCCCCCTGGCTCCATTCGCCGTGCTGGCCGGGCATGCTGCTACCAATAAGCCGGACTCAGGAAGCATGCTGGCCATGCTGGGGCATCCCTGCTGTTGTTTGCGCTCATGGGTGCGGCCCAGCATATTCAAAACCACGCGAAGGAGTTAAGAGAAAGGGGTGTTGTCCTTTCTCTGCGGACAAAACACCTTGGACTGCTAACCGTGGGGCGGTCTAAGCCACGACGGACCGAAGCCCTAAAAGGTGGCCCTCGACTGGGAAAGAAGATGTTGGTTGTTGGCAAAGCCGAAACCCAAAAGAACATGGGAAAGCACAAATCGTTGCAGAAGATGTTGGTTGGCAAACCACAACCCCTGGAAGGAGATGGTAGTGGCCAAAAAGGAAATGTTATAGGCCCGAAACCCGAGGAGATGTTGGTCGGCAAACCCCACAGCCCAAAGGAGACCCTGGTTGGCAATCCCAAAACCCTACAAAAAACTGGTGTTTGCCTTCGGAACACACCCAAAACCGCACAGTGGATGTTGGCTACTGGTTCGTCACGCATAAAGCCTACGCCCCAAAGGAAACCCTGGACCCTAAAAAGAACGTTTTTCTTGCATAACCCATCACATAACCCCAAACTCGAGAGTAGACGGAAACTTTGGATGGAAAGCCTCAAACCCCGAAGGAGATGTTAGTTGGCGAACGCTTTACCCCCCAAAAAGGCCGATACCCCGCAAGGAAATTTTGGTTGGCAGACTCTAAACCGGTAGAAGGAGATGGTGGCTGGTTGGCAAAAGCATAGGGACCCCTCGAAAGATGCCGGCTGCTTCCCCGAGCCCGAAACAAAAAACCTGGGCAAACCACAGACCCTAAAGGCAGACCCCAAACCTGGCTCGCAAACCCAAGATAACCCAAGCCCTAAGATGTTTCGCATAGCCTAACCCTAGAAGAATTATTACTGTAGAAGAAGATCTTGGTTGACAAACCCCCGCCCTTGAGTTGACACACAAACTAGAAGGGCCTGTAACCGAAACTGGAAAAGGAGATGGTGGACGGCAAACCCACGACCCTGGAAGGACCCTGAACTGCAACCCTAAAAAGGGATGCCTGCTATGGTTGCCCATCTACTCCAAATGGTTGGAAATCCATGACCCTGGAAGCACTGCGTACGGCTGCTCATGCTGTCTACAACCTTGAATGGACGAACTGGCTCGAACCAAAACTCAAACCCAAATGGGAGGGATAGGAGACGATGCGTTGCCAACCAAAAGCGACAAAAGCAAAACCCTGATAAGGACAACCGTTACGGGGATGACTGCAGGTCCTGAAGAAGGCCAACACCAGTAACAGATAATGGAGGGCCAACCCTGGAACTCCAAAACAAATGACGGCTGGCAAAACCCTATAGGCGACGCCACGAGTTTTCAAAAGCCCAAACCCAAAAATGATGGGCCATGCAGGGCGACCCAGCCGTAGCGGGACTCGTCACTCGACCGCGGCCCGCGACCGAGTGCAAATGAAAACGGTTGGGAGAGAGAGAGAGAGAGAGAGAGACAGAGAGAGGGAGAGAGAGGGAAGGGCAGAACGAGCGAGAGACAGAGAGAGAGTGCACGGAGCCCATATAGCGGCTCTAACATCCCAAACTCTAAATCCTCGGCCCTGAAGCCGAAACCTTAAAGCCTCAAGCCCGAGAAAAATCCAAAGCCTGCAAGGTATGGGAGTCTGATCCGCAAGGAACAAGGGCCGAAGGTTTCAAAACAGCGCTGCTCGGTCAGCAACAGGAGCACCCTCCTTTTTCCATCCCGTCTGCGGAAGCAGCAAAAGTATGGCAAATGCGAGTTCAGTCATTAGGAATATTAGGATTCAGTTCCTCTTAATCTGATCGCACGCAAACGTGTCGATGTGAAGACTGCAAATGATCAGCTGCGGCATGATGCAACTGTCATGACATCTACAGTGCTCGCATGGACAGACAAGCGGCCAAGATCTGCAGGCTGCACATCAGTGTTCGGCAACAGCCGGCAATGTTTCCCATCCTCGCCAATACACGGGAAAGGGAACCCCTGTAGGCACCCAACATGCTCTTTGCAAACAAGAGGCGCTGGGCGCTGGGCAGCTCTAAAGGTTTGCTTGCCGCTGCCTGTCCTCCCTGGAGCCAAATGGTCTGCGGATTGGTAGGAATTCGCAGTGACCGTTGGGCTGAGCAAGCGGTGAACCGGGGCCTACGGATAACCTGCCGGATTGTGGCGACTGTGAGCATGTAGCTTCAGCTGGTTTCCCGTCTGAGAGCCCACTCTCTCGAGCTCGACAGATGCGGCCGTCGAAACCAAGTGGATCCTCGGTGCACTTGCGCTGAGATTGTCGTGTCGTTCAGACTGCTGGCGATGCCAAATGAAGGTCCGGACTGCGTAAGGCACTAGCATTGGCACTCCAGGAAGCACTGTGCCGCACACAATGCCGCTTTTCGCTAGTGCACTCAAGACGAAGAAGGACCGCACAGCAGACAAACAAGGAGCAGTGCTAGCCAAGTTGGACAGCTCTTGACGAGCAGGCTTTCCTCCTGAAACTTTTGGCAGCTCATGCAAGATGACCATCGAGATGCTGCAGTAGAGATAGGGGCATAGGACAGCAACGAATGGTGCCTCGCGACAGCTCCAAATAAATGCCAGGAACCCTTGTTGAACCTAGGTCCTTTTGCTTGCGCTGCGCTCAGGGGTATGGCTCCCGCCCCCCCCCCCCCCCCCC